AAAAGAAAACATGAATCGATTTTCTTGCGGACGTATCGATGCATCGGATCGTCGGCTGTTGGATCGATCCATCGATACAAAAAGATTATTATTTACACCCCTAGTATCGGGTATCGGGGCCAAAAAATGGCATCGATGCAACACTGATCAAATGCAAAATGTTTATATCTTTTTTTGCAATCTTGGTATAATTACTGCTCTCAGTGGGTCACTCTGTCAGCTAAAGGCATGATTCAGAGTCTCTATACTCCATTCAACAATTAATCAATTATTACACTAATTAATCGATTAATCGCAATGAATCCAATTAATGTTTTAGCCCTAGTTTTGATTGCACACAGATACATATTCTACCATAGCTTTCAAATCCATACTTATTATTCCTCTAAAATGATTTTTCTCTTGTTTCATCCTTCTGTCGTTGCCTCTTTCTGTTTGCAGGAGAGCGCGTTTTGGCCAGCGGCTCAGTGCAGCTGCCCAGGTTCACTCTGCTGGAGTCAGGCAGTTTGCTCATATCCCCTTCCCACATCTCTGATGCCGGGACCTACACCTGTATGGCAAGCAATTCTAGGGGAATTGATGAGGCGTCCGCTGACCTCATTGTCTGGGGTAAGTTTCCAGAGGAGCAGTTTGACCAAACACACATTTAAATGCACAACATTTCAAAGGAAGCAGGTGCAAAAGCTGAATGATTTTGTTAAGGACTATGAATAAAACATTTTGTGGGAGACTTGCTTTGTTTCTTCATTTGGAGCTTGTCAGTTTAACCAGCATAAGCGTCGGCTGTGTTTTTCTCTCTGACCCTGTATTTGAGGAAACATGTTCTTTCTCTATTCCCTCATGCCTTTGATTTGTTTCCACAGCTCGCACTCGGATTACCACCCCCCCACAGGACCAGAGCGTCATCAAAGGGACTAAGGCCATTATGACCTGTGGAGTCACACACGACCCCAGTGTAATTATCAGGTAAGGATCTGTTCACAGGCATGTGAAGACGAGGATGCATTGTATAGGAGACAACCAGCTTTCTGAATGTTACATCAACTGATGTCAGAAAATGACTTTCCGTTATTGTTTTCCGCTTTGAATTTCTTTACATTTTCATATTACAACCACAAGCAACACTGGAAAAAAGCAAAATCTAGATAAGTCATTTTTTCTTAAAATAATTGCATTTGTTGTTGGATTGAGGAGGTAAAAGAGACATTTTGCCAATGGAACAAGAGAATTTACATTTAAAATAAGAAAACACAATTGCATTGTCTTATTTTAAGTGCATTTTATCTAATTATCGTATTCTAAGAGTAAAAGTACTCTTTACATTGGCAAACTATCTCATTTACCTACTCAAATTAAGGGTAAATACATTTAATTTAAGACATTTTTACTTATTTGTAGATCGCTTTTCTAGTGTAAAAGAGACAATTTACATTTACACTGCAAAAAATTGAAATCTAAATAAGTAATTTTTTCTTGCAATAAGTGCATTTTTTTCTTGAATTGAGGAGGTAATTGAGAAACTTTGCCAATGGAACAAGACAATATACAGTTAAAATAAGAAAACACAATTGCATTGTTTTATTTCAAGTGCATATTATCTAATTATCTTATTTTAAGACTTACAATACTCGTTCCATTGGCAAATTATCTCAAATTAATGGTAAATACACTTAATTTAAGAATTTTTTTTCTCATTTTTAGGTGGTTTTTGCAGTGTACAATAACACTGGAAAAAATCAAAATCTAGATAAGTCATTTTTTCTTAAAATCAGTGCATTTGTTCTTGGTTTGAGGAGGTAAAATACATTTTGCCAATAGAACAAGACAATTTACACTTAAAATAAGAAAACACAATTGCATTGTCTTATTTCAAGTGCATGTTATCTAATTATCTTATTCTAAGAGTAAGAATACTCATTCTATTGGCAAACTGCCCAATTTACATTCTAAAATTAAGGGTAAATACACTTAATTTAAGACATTTTTACTTATTTCTAGATAGTTTTTCCAGTGAAGAAAACACAAGTGGATTGTCTTATTTTAAGTGCATATTATCTAATTATATTATTTTAAGACTTAAAATACTCATTCCATTGACAAATTATCTTATTTACCTACTCAAATTAATGGTAAATACACTTAATTTAAGACATTTTTTCTCATTTTTAGGTGGTTTTTGCAGTGTACAATAAGAAAACACAAGTGGATTGTCTTATTTTAAGTGCATGGTATCGAATTATCTTATTTTAAGAGTGAAAATACTCTACTTCATTTACCTACTCAATTTAAGGGTAAATATACTTAATTTAAGACACTTTTGCTTATTTCTAGATCCTTTTTCCAGCACTGCAAAAAAATGAAATCTAAATAAGTCATTTCTTCTTAAAATAAGTGCATTTTTTCTTGAATTAAGGATTTAAGTGAGACACTTTGCCAATGGAACAATACAATTTACACTTAAAATAAGAAAAAACAATTGCGTTGTCTTATATCAAGTGCATTTTATCTAGATACCTTATCTTAAGAGTAAAAATACTAATTCCATTGGCAAATCATCTTATTTACCTGCTCAAATTAAGGGTAAATACCGATAATTTAAGAAATTTTTACAAATTTTGAGATCATTTTTGCAGTGAGTGAAGGTGTTTTATCAAGATTTTATTCTAAAGACCAGAATAAAGTAAAAGAAAAATACAAGCTGCTTTTGATTTTCAAAATAAAACAAATCTGATTAGTTTGGTGAGTTTACATATTTATCACTCTTTTATTCTTAAACAAAAAAACAGTGCAAATGGCCCTCCAAACTAGTAAACAGTGTAAATGTGTGCGTAATAATGATTAAACTGGAAAAACGATCTAGAAATAAGTAAAAAATGTCTTAAATTAAGTGTATTTTGCCTTAATTTGAGTAGGTAAATGAGATAGTTTGCCAATGGAATGAGCATGTTTACTCTTAAAATAAGATAATTGGATAATATTCACTTGAAATAAGACAATGCAATTATGTTTTCTTATTTTAAATGTAAACTGTCTTCTTCCATTGGCAAAATGTCTCTTTTATCTCCTCAATCCAAGAACAAATGCACTTACTTTAAGAAAAAAT